CGTCAGTAAAGACAATTTCATTCCATTCTGCCGCTTCTTTCATCACAGCATTGGCAGCGGAGACGTCTGTGGTTCTGCGTCAAGGGTAGACAAAGCAATGGACATCTTGCAGACAGACCACTCTGCAGTAAACGGCATTGAAAGGTACGCGCAGACACTGGATGATGCGTTACAGACTGAATGTGCAATGGTTTGTGATGTGACTGAGCGATCCGTCACTGCCATGCGCACAATGTTAGTGTCATCACGTGAAGTGGCGCACCGAGGAGGATGCAATCGAACATGTCGGTCCGTCATACCCTCCTGCATTCAACGGTCACATATCCGCATTACAGTTGTTTGCTTTTGTACAACATGACTACCGATTTCCCTGAAATATAATCCACACTCTCGGTAGGCCACTATCCTTCCTCTGTCGAACTCGGATACTTGATCAAACGTTGATCGCTGTTTACTACAAGGCATAATTGATTTTTTTTGGGAAAAAAAAAAAAAAAAAAAAAAAAAAAAACACAAAAACACAACTGCCAAACTTGAAATCATAAAAAACTCCCAAGCCTTAAATAGCGCTTTGAAGTGGCACCACAGGCGCTGAGCTGAAATTCTTATCATTTGCATATCTCACCTGCGCTAATGCATATTTTAAATTTCATGTTAATTGCATGCTTCCTTCAGGGTGTTGCATTTACGGTGGCCCAGCAGTGTAACTACAACCCCATTTTGTACATGGCACCCCGATTATTGATAGATCCCCAATGCAAACCATCTTTGAATGGCTTGTTCGTGATAAGAGTTCCATGTAAATAAGTCACGTGTTAAAAGTACTTTTTCTTTTTTTCCTTTTAACCCCTTAACTGCCGTGGGCGTATATATACGCCTTGCTCAGCCGATGCGTTAACTGCCCCAGGCGTATATATACGTCCTTCCAAACTGCTATCATTTGCTTTACGCTGCTACACCTAAAATTATTCGCAAAGTTAACGCATCGGCTGCGCATCTGGGGCAGTTAACGCATCGGCTGAGCAAGGCGTATATATACGCCCGCGGCAGTTAAGGGGTTAATAGATGTTAATAATTCCCAATCATTCATAATTTTCTCAACATGAGAAGTGCAGCTCTGACTATCCACGTGTTAACACATTTTCTTTTTTCAAAAAACGTTTAAAATTTTTGCTTTATTAAGATGTGAAGAAGATGTTATATCATTCTTCTAAGAAAGATGCATTTTATCCCATATCCAAACATGCAAAAATAGTCACTGAATAAAACTACTAGGCAAGCATTTGGAAGCACAATATGAAAAGTTGTAAATAAAGCACATGCTTTTTGATAGCTGTTTCGCTAGGTTTCAGAACACTGTTTGTTGTGATTTATTTACTGTTGGAAGAGAAACTGACACTGATAAGAGGTAAATGTAGCAACTCAGCCTTTATGAAAATACGAAGGTAAGTTGAAAAATAAGTTTCCCCTGTCGACTGTGGTCAGAGTTGTGTATGAAAGTCAAAAAATAGAATGAGACATTAAAGATATGACATACCTTTATTTTTTCCACATAGGTACCAAGTACATTGAGACATTTGTCATATCGCTCGATAAGCTTCAAAAAGCCCTCCAGGAAAAATCAGGGCTTTGCATACGGAAGAAGCGTTGAACGGCTTGTTTCACTTCAGTATTGCTTCCAAAGCGCCTTCCCCCGAGATTTCTTCAAAGCCGGAAACAGATGGAAGTCGGGTGGTGCGAGATCAGAACTGTATGGCGGATGGTGTAGGCGCTCCCAACCAAGAGTTGCAATATGGTTTTGTGTTGCCGTCGCCGAATGTGGTCTGGCATTGTCATCCAACAGCAGAATGCCAGATGTGAGAAGGCCAGGCCACTTTTTCCGAATCGCCTCTTTCAATTTCGACAGGGTATCACAGTAGCGTGTAGCATTGATGGTTCCAACCTCCAAAAAGTCCAGCAACAAAACTCCTTGGGCGTCCCAGAAAACTGTGAGGAGCACTTTACCTGCAGAGGGAGTTGTCTTGAACTTCTTTCGGATAGGTGATGATGGATGTTTCCACTCCATAGATGCGGCCTTCGATTCTGGCATGAAATGGTGGACCCACGTTTCATCCCCCGTCACAATCTGAAACAGAAAGTCATTGCCATCTTCATGGTAACGCACGAGATGTTCCAGGCTGACTCCCATGCGTTGTTCCTTGTGTGTCGAGGTCAATTGTCAGGGCATCCATCGTGCTGACACTTTTCTGTATCGAAGAATGTTGTGGATGATGTTTTGAGCTCGCTCATGTGAGATTCCAAGTTCTTCCGCTACTTCATCGATGGCGATACGCCGGTTCGCTCTAATCATGTCATCCACCTTCCTGACATTTGCATCTGTAGTGGCTGTGCGCGTCCGTCCAGCTCTCGGTATGTCCTCCACTTGCTGACGTCCATCACTGAATGTGCGACACCATCTCCGCACCATTTGCTTCGACATCACACCTGGCCCATAGACTTTCACGAGGCAGTTATGAATTTCTGTTTCTGATACTCCACGTGCCCATTCATAGCGGATAACCGCTCTCACTTCCTCCTTTGACCACGAATTCAAAACGCACCTTCTCTCCATACCTACCGGGGCTCAAATGAGAGGCTGGTCTCCGCTTTGTGCAGGCACTGCAACAGCGCCATCTGCTTGATTTGCAGCGACCTCTACCCAATGGTGTATCGGTGACTTGCGCATTTTCCTGCCGTGTCGCCTTTCGCCCATAGCCGTTCAACGCTTCTTCCATATGCAAAGCATGAATTTTTCTTGGAGGATTTTTTGAAGCTTATCAAGAGATATGACAAATGTCTCAACGTACTCGTACGAGAATAATAAAATAAAGGTATGTCATATCTTTAATGTCTCCTTCTATTTCTTTACTTTCATACACAACTCTGACCACAGTCGACAGGGGAAACTTATTTTTCAACTTACCTACGTACAACTACTAACTGTATTACCTTACAAGAGAGGTGTATCCTCTATATCTAATTCAACAATCAAACAAATAGATGACCCCCGGAAAAAATTATGAACATAAATATGTTAAAACGGGAAGAAAATAAACCTGGTAGAGTTCTTCCACAATACCAGATATTTGACAAGCTATGCAGCAATTTTTTTTTTTTTTTTTTTTTTTCCTAGTTCAGTTTCTGAAGAAAAAGGGAACCACACTCTTGACAAGAATCATCAACCACATACAAGAGGAGTCAACGATTTATTCAGATATAATAAGCATATAAAACAGAGGAACTGGTAAAAGCAGATTAGATAAACAACAGTGACTCTGAACTGTTACTCTGTTGATCATTTTGAAACATTATGGTATTCTGCTATAAAGTGGAATAAAAATAAGGCACGGTTCACCATCATTATGAGTCTTACGTTGTGGAGTTTATGAGGCAAAAATCCTTGGGACGAGAAAATACTGGGTGGCCATAATTAAACTGACAGTGCTCACAATGTTCTGTAGCACGATCTATTTGCGAGAATGACACCACATTTTGTAGGAAGATTAAACAAGATGGGGGACGAAGGATTCCGCGAAAAAAAAAATTAGTTCCAAAAGTCACCGCTAGGGGAATATTTGGCGCTGTGTAATAGAAAATAGAGTGTTAACAAATGCAAATTAATACGGAATAAAATTACCTTTTATTATGGATATGCCTTACAGTACGGCATGGAAAATCTTACGAAAGATTATCAACTTTTATCCGTACAAGATCAGCCATGTAGAGGAGTTACTGTACCCCGACCATGATAAGAGACTGACTTTTGCTCTCACCTTTCTTGCCAGAATGGAGGTGGATGATGCTTGGCCGTGATGGATGATCTTATGGGAAGACGAGGCCCACTTTTGCCTGAATGGAACTGTGAATACCCAGAACTGCCGAACTTGGGATGACAAATCACCACATGTGGTCACAGCAATTCCCTTACATTCACCCAAAGGTAACTGTTTGGTGTGGGTTCACAGCGGAATTTATCGTAGGTCCATTCTTCTATGAGAACATTACCCCGACAGGACCGGAAAGCTGTTCTGTTATTGGAGAGAAATATCGCCACATATTGAACAGCTTTGTCATTCTGGCACTTCAGCAGAGACACTGCCTGGGGGAAATCATTTTCATGCAAGATGGAGCCCCTCTACACGTTGCTGTACGGGTGCAACAGATGCTACGACAGAAATTCACAACAGAAAGAGTCATTAGCCGCTACTTTCCAACTGCATGGCCACCTCGGTCGCCTTATCTTACCTCATGCGACTTCTGGCTATGGGGTTACCTTAAGGTCTATCAAGGAGTGGTCTAAGACCTGGCTACGTTGAAGGATAACATATCACGGACCGTATGGGAGATTCCTGCAGACATGTTACTTTCTGCTGTTGTGCATATTGTTCACAGAATGCAATACGTGGTCCACAACAATGGCAGCCACATTGAACCTCATTTGAATGCAAAATAAAAGGTAATTTCCCTATTGATTTGCATTTGTTAACACACTATTTTCTATTACACAGCGCCAAATATTCTCGTAGTGGTGACTTTTGGAACTAATTTTTTTTTTCACGGACTCCTTCGTCCCCCGTCTTATTTAATCTTCCTACAAAATGTGGTGTCATTCTCACAAATAGATCGCGCTACAGAACAATGTAAGCACTGTCAGTTTAATTATGGCCACCTGTTACATCAGTGCCATATTAAAGCAATTGTGATCCACAAAATGTATACGAGAAGTAAATTTGAATTTAGCAATAATCATGGCTCCAATTTGTGTTTAAAAAAATGGAAACCATAATAATCAGAAGGAAGTACTTCTCCCTTATTTTATCTCTTCTATATAAATGGTATTGTTTCTTCCCATAATGCTTTTACATATAGCTTAACATTTGTCTCCTCAGCAAAAATTGCAAAAAAATTATTTTCTTAAGTCTTCACAATGACACACATATTAAAATTTCAAAAATAATTACCTAATGTGTTCTGTTATTACAGATGATTCTTTTGGTGCATCAAGCCTGGCTGCTAGTTGATCCTTAGCTCTTTGAACTTCACCTTCCTACAGAGGAATGGCATTGTTAAATAAATATTTTTAAAAAAATGCATAAGAAATCCCTCTGAATAAACATTAGACATCACCACTGAATGACCTTATATTAATAATATAAAGTTATTCAGTTCTTTTAAATATATCAGGTTGTAATGAAAGTTTTCCGCCACTGCGAATATCATCTGCACAAACAGTTTGCATTGCTGTGTTTAATCATCTTTTGTCAACGATTTTCGGCATTTGAAAGAAACTTGCTTCAGAACACTTGTGAAATCTGTAAAAAAATATCATCACAAGGTGTTTGAAATGGAACTATCAAACTACCAGATTAGAGCCATCATTTACTTCTAGTTCTGTTGTAAGTCAGCAATACAATGCCACCAAATTATGTCTACAGCTTTAGGGACTAATGTTGCAACGTAATGTAATATATGAGTGTGCTGCAACTATTGTATCATATGATACTGTGAAGGTTTGGTACCGAAAGTTCAAAAACAAGGACTATGACATTCACGAAGCAGAAGCCTCTGGCTGGCATACTGATGTTGACGCGGTCCGTCTGCAAGAACTTGGAGAAGATCAATATGCAACCATTCGAGAGCCTGCTAAGGACTTAGAAGTTAGTGTCATATTCATTAGTAGCACTATGCATCATGGATTTACTTTAGCAACACAGGCTGAAAAGGGGGTTGGTCTGTGGCCAATGAGCCCGTTGGCAGCATTGCAAAGTACAGTTTGATTCACAAAAAGATCATGCTTTATATCTGAGGGGTTGCTGTGGTTATTATCTACAAAGAGTACATGGGAAAAGGTAAAACCCTCAATAGTAAGGTGTACAGTGAGATGTTCGTCCATGTTGATGCTGCTATCAAGGAAAAACAACAAACTGAGTTCCGGCACAAAAAGGGAATGTTCCATCAAGATAATGCAAGATGCTATGTGTCTGCACATTCACTGCCTGGACTCTATACGGACTCGAATAGGATCTTTGGCCACACCCCCCATATAGTCACAACATTGCTCCTTCGGACATGTAGCTTTTCTCACACCTGCACTTCGGACATCTACCTTTTCTCACACTGCAGCTACATCTTGCTGGTTCATTCCTTCTGCATAGAACATCTGAAAGATTGATTCACAAGCTGATTTATTTTTGGACTTGCGACCACCAAGTTTCTGGGCTGAAAGCTTTGAAAAACTACCAAAACGTTGGCAGAAAATCATGGATTTGGGTGGTTACTAAAACGCACTGCTTTCATGCTTTTTCCTCCCTAACTTTATTAAGAATGTTTTTTAGTGGAAAACTTCCGTTATAATTTAGATATATTTATCATCAATTAATTATAATTTACTATTCATTTTAAAGGAAAGAGTAAAAACATTTTAAACATGTTTTGTAATTATCAAATCATTTTCCTTCCCACTTTTCATAATTTCAGGCATTGTTAAGAAAAATTAACATTATTTTCAGCTTTTAATGCTCTGAGTGACATGGCTTTTTGGATCTGCTTATGAAGATCTGTATTTAAACAGTTTTTATAATTACTTATTTTAGTCTCCATTTTTATAAACTTCCATTCATTAAGATATTTATTTACATTATTAAAGAAGGAAAGAAGATAAGAATAAATATTTTAAATTATAAGCTAATATACAGCAAGTGATAAAAAATCTCATGACAGGCAGTCATCCCATTCAGGGGGTTATTATAAAATCAAAATTGCTGCACCTGTTGTGCATCTTCCTTTTACTCAAATTTCAACAAAAAAAGTAAATTCTAATGAATGAAATAAAACCTTTTATTTACCTCATATCTAGGTTTTTTAACAACTTCTTGTTGATTCTGTTCTTCGTACACATGTTTAACTATAATTACATAAAAAAAAAAAAAAAAAAAAAAAAAAAAAAAAAAAACTCATAAAATCATATGGATGCATACAGAATCGCACATTCAATGTCTTAAAACAAATTTGACTTAATTGATAATATGATGAGAAGTATTGTGTTTACTTGCATAATAGTCAAATTTTTTTTTTTGCCAATTTTTCATTTTGAAAGCCAACATAAGACTATATTATGTGGAAAAATTTACTACACACTTTTGACGATTTTTTTTCTGCTTCAAAACGGATTATTTTGCAAGTAAATACAGTAATTTATTATTTCTTATTCTAAATCAAATTCCTTTCAAAATAAAAAAAATAAGGAAGGATCAACCTTTTTTTTTTTTTTATTCTAAAACTATAATTACCTGTTGTAGGTATCTCAATAGGAGCACTTTTATCAATACTAGCTGATGTGCTTGTTTCTCCATTTAAGTATGCTAATAATTCCTATAAATATTCAGAGAACAAATCATGTATAATTTGTATCAATTTCTTTGTTTAATTGCATTAAAATTTACAACTACCCTAACAAGTCGTTATGCTGAAAATAAGTAAATCTTTTAATACAGAAATTGCTATGAAGTTTCTATGAAATTTATAAAAGTAATAATTTGTCAGAGATTATCTTTTGTTTAAAAGAAACATAAAAATTACCAATGACAGGCACGAAGACTTAAATGAAAAAACATACTGAACTTTCCTTTATTACAAATTCCATATAAAATCCAGAAATATTTTTGAAGATGCATTTTATTTTCAGCAACTAGATTTAAAGCAAAGGGATATAAATATGTATAAAAGAAAAAGCAACAAAAATTCTTCTTTTGCTGTAACCATTAAAGATTTTCCTGCACTTAATGCTAGCTCAAGAGTAAAGTGTTTCCTTATACAACTTAGCTGTAATCTAGTAATTTCAATTTCTTGCAGTAACCCCCCAAAAACTTATTTTTTGATTCATTATGCAGTTATTAAACCACCTCTGTTTGGTACTGGTGAGCCGTAATTGAATCAATGTCCTCTCCTTCAATCTTCTACACAACTGTGACAACATTAAGTTTATTGAACTGTGTTTGATTTTAGTCTAACTACTATACTATATATACAATTACAAAACATTAAGCTGCAGAAAAATTGCCATTAAAGACATAAAAGTAAGAAATTTAGAGCTAATATTTCACAAAGACCAAAAATTGAATTTTGTGTCAATCAAAGCAGTATTTGTTGATTTTTTTGCATTTTTCATTTTCGTGCTCAACTTTTGGAAGTGAGTGTATATATATACAGTAACAGCTCAACTATCCAGGACTCAACTAACTAGAACATTTTTTAAACTTTTTTTTAAACATAAAATTAAACAAGAGATTTATAAGTCTTTTATAAAGCAAAATTAAGACTAAAGTTTGAATTAAACAAAAATGTCATTAAACTGTGAAATGTAGCACCAACAATGGATAAGCATGACATAATGCATTAGCTTTATGTAAACCCAATTAATTCTTGATAAGTCAGTTTAATTTTTTTGCAAAATATAAAACTGCTTTTTAACTGTTTTTTAATCACATTTTGAAAAAAAAAAAAAAAAATAAAAATAAAAATAAAAATAAATAAATAAATAAATAAAAAATCTGAAATGTTTCAGATTTTAAATTACGTCCAAAGGGGCGTTTTTTAACATTTTGTGTGTTACCTTTCTTTATTAAATATCATGTTCCTCGCACTTAAACCATAAGATCCAGTGCAACAGCAATATCGCAAAATAGTTTTAAAACGAGCATATCTTTAGAATTTCCGATACAGAGACTCACGCGCTGGAGATAAAAATGTTTTTTCTGCACAACGTTGCCATTGCTCGCTTTGAAATCCTTGAGTTTGTTAATCAAAAATTCGTCAAAGTTTTAAAAAATAGGAAATCGATCATAAAACAAATTTCAAATTTGGTCTTCCACATGCTCATATTCGTTGGAGGATTACGTTATTCAAAATTCGATGACTCTATGTGCCGTTGTTTTATCACAATACGAGAAATATACATACATTTATGCAGATTTTTCATTATTTAATTTCTTCAAATATAATGCAGGACTCTAACATTTTGTGGCAACAGTTTGAAAAGTGAACCGACATTTATGAGTCCGACGCAAAATGCCAAAACGAAACTAATAGTCCTTCGGGATTCAAATCCCTTTGGACTAAAAAAAAAAAAAATATGTTTAAAATTTGGGACTCATCTTCAACAGAACAACATACAGTACAGTATTTTCAAAGTTAGGGAATCCTGGCATTATGAAAGTGTGACTTTTAGAAAAGTAGATTAACACTGATTGCGCAACATGAAAAATAATGATAAATAATTTAAGTTTTTAATTTGTATGCAGATTAACTACTAAATAAACAGCAATCTGTTCCTTCAAACTTCTGCTAGAATGTTTAATGCAACTTTTGCTTCATTATTTATGACTCTTTTCTTTTGAAATCTCCCATAACTTAGATGTAAGCACTTGATATTCAAACAGATAAAAACTAAAATGAGTTTTTAAAAATTATCTGCAATTCGGCATTTCATGATAGTTGAGCTTTCACTGTCATATTCTTTTTCTTTATATATATATATATATATATATATATAAAAAATCTTTTTATGTGGCTTTATATACAGCTTGCTTTCACCATTTTCTTGTCAAACAGATGTGCATAAATTTCAAATGATGATTAACTGGTTTTAGTCATTCAATTTTCAGGTTTTTGCAACTAGATCTTTTCAAAAAATTTTACTGTCTTCGATTTACTGCTATACTTCATGAATAATATTACAAATGTAAAAATTATGCTAATGCTTCTTATTGGACATTTTCGTTGCCTTTACGATTAGTTAATACTTTTCTGTTACAACCTTATTTGATAGACAACTATTTCAATTATTGTGCATATAGTGCTTAAAACTTCATGTGCATCAAGCCTAACAAACAAACAAACAAAACAAAAAATTAGCACTAAAATCTTTTCTTACAAACAAGGCAATCTAAGTGATAGCTCAGAAGTTTAAATAATGGTTTTCATTAAAATTCTGCAATTACCAGCAACTGAAAACTTCATTTTAAAGAAAAATACAATGCTCAAATACATTAGAAAATTACAAAACTTTTGGTACTTTGTGATTATCTACACCCAATGGACCTAGAGCTATTACGGCCTAGGGCAGAAATCTTCCTGGGGGCCTTCCTTATGACTCATTGTAGACCAAAGATAACTCTTCATCAACTTCAAATAATAAGAAAAGCTTATCTTGCAAGAAGCAACTGAAACTCACACAGTCAAAAAAATGTCTTTTGCGCCAAATGAAAGCTACATACTGATTCTTGGAAGTCTATTTTTGCAATACAGCTTCACCTTTTTCATTTTTGCTGCTTGAAGATAATGCCTTAACCGTTTAATTTCTGGTATGATTTCGTTTTCTTCTATCTCAACAAAAGTTTCCCTGCGGCTTCGGAACTTCTTCAATTTCTGTTTCAATAAAACACAAAAAACGAATGGCTGCAAAAATTTTTATATAATTTTTGCATCAAATGGCACAATTATACTTAATCATTGTATTTTTATATTCCTACCTCCAGATTATATTAGAATGTAAGGTTCTGCAGGGTCCTCCTGTTCTGTGGCCCAGGGATCTGTTCCTTCCCCGTACGATATGCCACTGTCCACACCCCCATCAAAAGGTTACTAACTCACTGTCAACTTTGAAGAGAAATAGTTGCTTGGGTATCTCTATGTGTGTTTCAATGATGCATTCTGAACCATATAATGTTTTACCAGCGTTCGTACATATTTCTGCACTTGAAAATTAAGCACTTTGAAACATCATTAATGAAAAACAGCATATGGTAACTGAATAAATTGAAGCAATTATCTATGCCTGAACTTCACTTTTTTAGTATCATCATAAGAATAAAAAGATATGTTAGCACAATACAGTATTATTAAATATAATTATAAAACAAATTAAAGAATAAAATCAATTTATTACAAAACTTCCTGTAACATTTATATTTTACAATTATAACAGTCCTACATACTGTAAGATGATTAGTGATGATTTATTTGTTTTATTAATAGTTAGCTTTATTTTGATTCTTTCTTTTATGCCTTGTTTTGTCATGTACTTCCTCAGTCCAGATGTCAGTAAATAGCATGCAGATTATATAAGAAGCAACATACGTTAAAATGAGAAGCAAAACCATAATCAACATAATTCCTAACAGAAGCTTGGCTGTTGCCATTGTTGCTCCTTGCCTAAAGAGTACCAGACCCACTAATCAGAATAGAGCTGAATGCCGGTACAGTTGGTAAATGTTAAAAGTTAGTTATGCTTTGTCTGTCTGACACTGTTAGGGTTGCTGCTTTGTGTTGAGTTGCTGAAGTTGAAATCCAGTTAATATACTGTAATGTTCCAATAAGCCAATGAGGCACCAGAGGTGATAAGTTGTTTTGTATTACTTAAAGTCTCATTAGCTGTAAGGAACAAAATTTTACATTTTTGTGTTGTATCCTGTGTTCATGGTAAGGAATCAGAAAAGGCAAAAATTCGCTTTCACATGCAGAGATAACTTCTAAAGGTGTGTAGCTAGTTATAAATAATTAAATTAGGTAGGTAGATGACCTTAGTCATTATAGATTTATGTGGACAATATTATAATTTTTTCTTTCTTCCGAATGTGGATAGGTTTGTGGGTAAAAAATTGTAAGAAAATTTACTATAAACTTGATCAAATTTGATTTGGTTAGTCTCTTTTCTTCTTAAAATCCTCATAATTATGTAAATACCATAAGACATTTTCTATTTTGGTATGCCTTTCTTCTGTGCAATTGAAATTTTTCAATGTAATATATAATTCTTCAGATAGTGATGTGTGCTGTTCTTTCAGTGACATGAAATTTATTGTTAATAAATTAGAATCTCTCCAACATAATGACTCCACAGCCAGTTTTATTAGAAGTAGAGCTGATAAAGTTCTAGATATTAAGTCTAATTCACTATCACAAAAATTCCTTTGCAGTCGATTATTGCTTTTTGGATTGGAATTTTTCAGTTTCAAAAATCATGCCATCATTAGAAGTAAACTGTTCCAACGTGTTTCAGAATCTAATATTAACATACATTCTGTTTTATTTTCAGTAAGTATATATTTTTTGTAATAAGGCATTTCTTGTAGGAGAATGTTTAAATATCTTAACAATTTTTCGAACTTTATTAATTATAAGAAGCAATTCTTGATGAGTTAATATTTCATCCTCATTAGCAATATCTTCTTCAACAATTAAATTGTCATTATCTTCACTGTCAGTATCACTCTCTTCAAAAGTCGGAATCAGAAGTTTCTATATCCACAGTATTTGAGTTCTGTTCTTTATTTTTTTGGTATAATACATCTGTTACTCCTAATTGAATTCCA